GGGGTGCCAGCGAAGCGGTGTAAAGCCCCGGTCACACAACTGCAGGTGGAGGGCTTGGCCCCTGGACAGCCCCCTTGGGGGGTAGGCATCTGTAGGGCCCGTTGGGGCCGGAGGGATGGGCCCCTGCAGGCTGCCTTGCTAGGGCTGAGTGCCAGGTGCTGGGCCTTGTGCCCGGGGAATGAAAGGTTGCAGGCGGTGGAGCCCCCTTGCTCCTCTGCTCCTGCCTCCCTGGGTCCTTGCTCCATCTGCAGCGTGGAGCTTCCCTGGTTCCTGCTGGCACTGCCCTGGGCGCACTGGCCAGGCCCCTCTCCTCATCTGCAGAGGAAAGGCCACAGGGACCTCTGAGCCTAGAGACTCACAGGCCTGGTCCTGCACTGTGAGGATCCCCCTCCCTTGCACCACCACTCACTTCGTTTCCAGACAGCCGCCTCCCACCAGGAGAGTTGCAGCCAGGCTTCCCGCTGGCTCAGCTGCTCCCCAGGCTCCTCACAGGGCTCAGGACCTTGGCTCCCTGCGAGGGGCAGGGTCCTCAGGCTCCAAAGGACAGGCTGGCCCCCCTCCTGCGTTGGCCTCTTTCTGCTGGAGGGTGCTGGGAGATGCAGGCCCTGGGGCAGGTGGGAAGAGTCAGTCCTTGCAGGCCAAAGAGATGCCGGCAGTCTCAGGGCTGGCACTGGCAGTGCAGTGCGACTGGTGCCAGGCAAGGGCAGGTGGGCACAGAGGGGACAGAGATGGGTAGGACCCAAGTCAGGGGGAAAGGCCTGGGAGCAGGAGTGTGGGGTGGCAGAGAGCAGGCCTGGAAGCTGGGTGGGGTGGGGTGTGGTGGAGGTGCTGGGGGTTGGAGCTAGCTAGCTTGGCAGGGTGGGAGGCAGCCCCCTGCGTGGGCAATGTCAGCTGCTCAGGGAAGTTCTGCACTAACGGGCAGCCCTGAGACCCCACAGCCAGGCCTGGAGCAGGACCAGGGGCTCCTGGGGGCAGACGGATGCCTCAGGCTGTTGTCCGCTTGTGGCAGCTCAGAGCAGCCTGGGTCGGAGCCCTGCTCAGGCGCCTCCATGGGCTGTGGTGACGTGCCCGTTCTCTCGTTCCAGAGGTGAGCAGTATCTCGGCTGCTCCGCTCAGGGAAATGCCCGGTGGCCTAGACTCACCTGCGACATGGCGAGACCGGGGAAGAGGAGCCTTGTCCTTTGTTCCCTTTCTGCCCCCGCCAAGCAGATGCCGCTTGTGTGTCTTTAATTGCCCCTTGAGCCACTAATCCCTGCATGTCCCTGCTCTCGCTGCCTCGCTGGGCTGGGGGCTCTGCTGCCCACCCTCTGAGCCAGTTGCCCTGCCCTGGGACACCCGTGCAGGACACCCTGCGTGGCCCCGTGCCCTGCAGAGGGGAAGCAGGCAGGGCTTATAAGCTGTGAAAGGCTCAGTGATCACCTGTGCTCTTATTCCCCAGGTGAGACGGGGCTGGCAGCTGCCCGCAGGCTCTCGGCCCCAGGGCCAGGCCCATGCTCTGTTCCTGCAGCAGACCCCGGCTTCTCTCTGGAGCACAGCACGGGTGGCCTGGAGCGGGGCACAGCGGGGCACCAGGTGCCTGAAGCTGCAGCCTCACTGCTGTCCTAGCTGCCCCTCCCCTGCTGTGTGGGCTCTGTGTTGTGTGACTGTGCTCACCCTCTGCTTGCTGTGCTTCTCTCTCCCTCCCCCCTCCACTGCCCCTGCCTTCAGGCCTGCTGTGGGAACTGCAGTGACAGCGAGGAAGAGCCCACCCGGCTGTAGGGCCGCCTGTTCGCCGGCCTCGGGACCCTCTGGCGCCGGCGGTGCTGTGGGCTGAGCTGCCCGGGGGAGCTGCTGCCCTGCCTGGGGTGTTCACAGTTTGCACACTGGCTGCAGATGCAGCTGCGGGCAGCGCCATGCTCCCTGCCTGGGGTTCCTGGACCCAGGGCCTCCATGCAGCGGCCAGTGCGTCGTGGGACATGGCTGCAGCGTGGAGGGCTCGTGCTGTGGCTGCTCCCCCCGCTGTTGGGGCACTCGGAGGCCTTGCAGGAGCTGGCCAGGAACGTGGTCCAGAGGTGCTGGCGGCTTGACCATGGCAGCAGCTGTCTGTGTGTGTCGAGCCTGCCCCGTTCTGAACTTTCCCCGTGGGCTGCAGGCATCGCTGCGCCTGCTTTGCCCGGGGGGCCTCACTGTGCTGGCTCTGCCTGCTGCTGCTGGTGCCTGGACGCATCAGTGTGTTGCCTTGGGCCTGTGAGTTGCACCCTGGGGCCCCCATGGAGCAATGCAGCAGTGCCCCAGCGGGCACAGGCATCTCTGTGCACATTCACCCCCAGGCCTCAGGTCTAGGAAGCTGCTATGCCAAAGCATTTGCCAATAGAGCCGGGCACTTGGATGCCCCAGCCCAGGGGCTGCGATGGGCGCTGCTGTGCTGTGGCAGGTGCAGGCATGGGGCTGCTCCAGCCTGGGCTGGCAGAGGACTGCCCCAGGGCAGTGTGTTACCCCAGGGATGTGGTGGGAAGTGCCAGTGCCTGGGCAGCGGCTGCAAGCTGAGCTTGCTGCCTGTGCTGGCCTGAGGAACTTGCTGCTGCCAAAGGCTAGCTGTGCCAAAGGCTCCTCTGGCAGCTGCTGCTGTCTCTGGGTCCTGGGCTGCCCTCATGCCTTGGGGCACAGGGCCCCGCGGAGCTGCTCGCCCCTTCCATGGATGCCTGTCCTGCCCATGGCACGTGCTGCCCGGCCTGGCCCTGGGGGTCCTGCGCTTGCCTTGCACTGATGTTGGAATATTTAAATGTTTTTTACCCTCAGCTCCGAGTGTCTCTGCTGTGTCCAAGCTGGTCACCCCCTCGCCGGCTCTCACCCCATGCACCTTCCTCCCTTGGCTGGCACCAGCCTAGTGCGGGCAGGCGTTTGGGCTCTCCTCCCTGCGCCGCCCCGCGGGGCTCCTGCGGCCACGAGGCGGGGGCAGCAGCACGGTCGCTGCGGGGC